GTTTGGTCTATTGGGTTGTATTTCTGAGAACATATTCTTATCAGAGGATCACAGGGCAAGGCCACAAGCCACTTCCTCCAAAGAAGACATGCACTCACAGTTTCTCATCATCAAGAGGGGAACAGGCTTCACGGATTGAAACAGACAAATAACAACAACAAATAAAACCCAGAAACTCAGAAGCTGAGTCCCAGGCAGTTTGGAAGGAAGAAGGACAAAGCCATCTCCCTGAGCTTGGCTTGGGCTTGGCCGCCAAAGTCAGTCTATGTTTCATCAAGATCTAGCTATGCGCGCAGTCATGTCAGTTAGACTCCCTCCGCTCCAGCTATAAAATAAGGGATGATTACACTTCTCTTACATGGTTTCTCTGAGCATTTAAAATAAAAATTAGTCAAAGCACTTAACACCATACTTGCCATGCCTGCTTCAGGGCTCAAAAATTGTTAGCTGCTAAAATATGCTCTCTACCCTCAAGGGCCATATAGTTTAAGAGAAGAATCGTGTGTCCACTGGTAGGAGGCGTAAGCGCATTCCCCCAAGGCCGAGATTATTGTGATTCTATCAGTTGTAGAGCCACCCCCACGGAGAATGTAAATCTTGGTCAATATTGTGAAATGGGACTGTGAAGTCCAAATGCCTTAACCCCTACTGAAATTGTATCTCCATCATTAGCCTTAGACAATCTGAATGTTATTTGTTATGGGATCATTTTGGTTAGGACTGGCTAATCTGTGTTACAGTAACAAGTAATCTCAAAAGGTGAACTGTCCCATATATGCAGTTTGCTACGACCATATTTGTCTCTTCAATACTATCCTCCCAATAAGCACACAAGATCAAGGTTGCCTGTTTTTAGACTCAGCCATCTCAACATTAGGCCTCCTCTGTAATCACTGTGGCCCCAAAAGCAAATGTTGTAAAGCCTTGTACCAGCAGTTAAACGCACTCATCATTGGCCAGAACGAGTAGCTTTGCTTAACTGAAAGAAGGTGAGAAAGTATAATTTTCTCATGTTCACAGAAGGGGGTATGAAAGACTACTCAACGTCTTTACAATAGGGAGTAAAAATATTTCCTTCAAGGAACAATGATTAAGGTTAGCAGTTTTCAGTGAACAGCTAATGCCTGACATACCATTGAATAAATTAGGGGATAGTCATGGTGGCACTGAGACTTGAATTTGAAGACAGGCATCTGATAAGACAAGTCAGATCTTCAGAGGTATTTCACTTGGGGAGTGTCATGTTTTATAAAACTTGAATGCCTCTAAGAGGAGTATGTTTTCTACCTTGCCCTGGCTCCCACCACCCTGTGCTGTCTTATATCCAGTTGCTTTGCACATTTCTGTGTCTCTGATTTTTGAGGCCACTTGAAGGCCGACATTGGACCCTTCACAAAACAGAGCAAAGCGTTTTTTTGTTTTGTTTTTTCTTTCCGTAGGTTACTGGGGGAACAGGTGGTGTTTGGCTACATGAGTAAATTCTGTAGTGGTGATTTGTGAAACTTTGGTGCACCCATCACCCGAGCAGTACACACTGCACCCAATTTGTAGTCTTTTATCCCTCACCCACATCCCACCCTTTCCCACTGAGTCCCCAAAGCCCACTGTGTCATTCTTATGCCGTTGCATCCTCATAGCTTAGCTCCCACTTAAGTGTGATAACATACAACGTTTGGTTTTCCATTCCTGAATTACTTCACTTAGAATAATGGTCTCTAATCTCATTCAAGTTGCTGCAAATGCCATTAATTCATTCTTTTTTATGGATGAGTAGTCAGAACATTTTTAGAAGTTTATGTTCTACTGAATTTTTCAGACCTGAGCTCTGGGGAAGCACTCATCTCAATATTCCCATTAAGATGTAGAATGAGAGACGAGACCAGAGTCAGCCATGTATTTTGTGTGTGTGTGTGAAAACTTTGTTGCTACTTCTACCATCCTTCAACACTTATTTTACCTATTTGTTTACAAGACTGCCTTCTCCACTAAACTTTGAGCGCCTTAGCAACAAAGCAATCTCATGCTCATTTTTGTGTTTTTAGCACTTGCTGTAAAACCTGATATATCATAGGTGCATACTAAATGAGTAAGTGAACTAACGGGCAGCCGTCTTAAGCCTCCTGTTCTCTAAGGTGTTCCTCCCCCAAACCCAAATGTCCTCTCTTTTTGCTCATGACAATTATCAGGACTTGAAACTGTGACATGAGATTTTATCTATTTTGTCCTGCGTTACCTCAGATTAGGAAGGATGGCTTTCATGCGATGTGAACTCATCGGTTACTGTTAGTAGTTACCAGAGGCCACCAGGAGCTGTTTGTGTAATTAACTGAAGTCCTTACTCTAATCTTTGCATTGATCCCTCATTTTGCTGATGAAGAAACTGGGCCTTTGTGAACCTAAGTATCTCACCCTTAATCAAACACAGTACTGCAGCTCAAGCCGGGCTGTCTCCTTGGCCTGTGCCTTTTCTATCACTGCTTTGCCTCTCTTACTCAGTTGTTTAACTCTCTCGTGTGTGTAACTCTTGTCCTATCCAACGTTTGCAAATTTCTCAAAGTTCAAAAGCCCAACTTCTTCTTAGATATTCCCCATAGCGTCTGGCACAAGTCTCACCACATGGTAGATATGCACCCAGCTGTTCCTGAATTAAACCTTTCAACTACAAGGATCTTGCCATGCATCACCACGTTATGGTAGGCAAATAGGTAGGACATAGCTTCAGTTTGCTCTCTGTTCCCTTCTTTTCCCTCTCCTGGCCAATACCTGAAGGAAAGGTGGTGCTGACTCATCCCCACGACAACTGGAAGAACAAGATTAATGTTTGCTACTTCCCCAAACTCCCTCAGTTTTACAGAAAATCAGTGGAGAAATTGCAAGCGTAATCACAACGAAGATATTTCAGGCTCTGTCACAGCTGATGGAGGCAATAGGAAACTTCCAGGTGTCACCAAGTCATACTACTCACAGCACTGCCTATTTCAATAGAAGTGGCTTTATTAATTGCCATCAAAGTCAGGTCAAATCTATTAAATGGCAACAAAGTCATGTCAAATCTATTAGGTATACTACATCTTACTATTTCAATGATGGGTCATGCTATGGACTGAATTGTCTCCTTCCAAAATTCACATGTCAAAGCTCTGATCCCCAGTGTGACTGTATCTGGACACAGGGTCTTTAGCAGGTAGTTAAATTCAAATGAAGTCCTTATGCAAAAGGATGGTGGCCTTGTAAGAGGAGAGAGATCTCTCTCTCTCTCTTCCATATGAGAACAGGGACAAGGCAGCCATCTGCAAGCCAGGGAGAGAAGCCTCACCAGGAACTGAAACAGTTGGCACCGATCTTGGACTTCCAGCCTCCAGAGAAATACGTGTGTGTTGTTTCTGCCACATGGTATATGGTATTTTGTTATGGAAGCCTGAGCTGACTAATTGAGGTCAGTTTGACTCAACTAGCATTCGAATGCCTGCTGTCTACTAGGCTTCCAGGAAACAGTGATATCTGAGTTATGATTTAATGAAAAATGAGGTATTCTTCACAAAAGCAGATGGCACCAGCTACACATATACAAAGGTTTTCTGGTTATTCACACGAGTAGATATCAGAAAACGTAAAAGATAAAGCTGAGTATAACCCAGGAAGAGAACTGACAAAGGTCAGTCTATTCAGACGTGTTGCTGAGAGGGGTTTAGAAACAAGTTGAGGTGGCCCTGAATGAAAAAAATAAACAATGTTTGGGCAGTTTTCCACATTCCCCAAGAATGAACTTTCACAGAGAAGCTTTGTTTTTATGTGTGTGTGTGTGTGTGTGTGTGCGTGTGTGTAGAGAATATTACCAAAATTAACAGGATAACACTCACATCCATAAACAAATATGTAAACAACTCAAAAACCAAATCCAGTGGTTTTTCTCAAGTTAACTCTGACTTTTTAATGCCATTGAATGTTTTCTGATCTATTAGTGTGAATTGCTGAGAACTGGCTGTTCTCATTAAAGTATAAAATGCTGAGTTTAAAAAACTTCAGAAGACATGTGAAAAATAAAATTATTGAGTGTGAATGCAATTCTACTAAGCAATATATATGACTGGAAAGATGTAAGCTAAATTACCAGTTACCTCTATGTGACACAATTATGGGTAATTTTAATTTTCTTCATTTTGTTTTACTGTTTTCAAATATCCTCCAAATGTGTGTTTTTTAATAATAAAAATAAATATTGTTACAATCTTTCTGATCTTTTAAGTCTATTTTAGTAGTATCTGAGGTGGACTTGCTATAGTTCTTCTAAGCATATATGGGGTTTTTGTATAATTAAACTTGACTTGGAGGACTGGCAAGATGGCCAAATAGGAACAGCTCTGGTCTGCAGCTCCCAGCGAGACCAACAAAGAAGGTGGGTGATTTCTGCATTTCCAACTGAGGTACCTGGTTCATCTCATTGGGACTTGTTGGACAGCGGGTGCAGCCCATGGAAGGGTGAGCCAAAGCAGGGTGGGGCATCACCTCACCCAGGAAGCACAAGGGGTCAGGAAACTCCCTCCCCTAGCTAAAGGAAGCTGTGAGGAACTGTGCTGTGAGGAACGGTGCTATCCAGCCCAGATACTATGCTTTTCCCATGGTCTTCACAAACCACAGACCAGGAGATTCCCTCGGGTGCCTACACCACCAGGGCCCTGGGTTTCAAGCACAAAATTGGGTGGCCATTTGGGCAGATGCTGAGCTAGCTGCAGGAGTTTTTATTCATACCCCAGTGGCCCTGAAAATTTAAAGCATAACACTATATAGACTGAATTTGAATTTACTGTAATGTTAGAAGTCCTTATTTCTCCCCTTTATTTTAAACATTAAGGCCTTGCAAATCCTACCAGTGCATTAGGCAGTGGTGGCGAGTTGCGGTGG